GGTCTACTCCACCTGGCCAGGATTTTCGCATTAAACAGAGCCTGGCTGGGGCTGCCTCTTCGAATGAAACTCCCGTCACCGCGCTGCGCATCTTGATGAGATTGTATATCGCAGCGTTGTCCACTCGGCCCGCTGCTGTCACCAGATTCAGCATGGCGCCGGATACCTGACTGGAATCGGTGGTTCTCAAGGCCGCGTCGTAAACGTCGCCAAATTGCGTAGTGGCGACGGGCTGGTGAGTCCGGGAGGTCTGCGTGATCGTTACTCGTGCTGCGGATACCCAGTGCGGAGTAATATGCTCGCCGGTATCTGACAAAGGTCTCATAATCTTCAGTATCTGATAGGACGTTACTGTCGAATGGATAGTGACAGCCAGTGCGCAGTGCTTCTCCTGATCCAGAGCGGCGTAGCGTGTTCTTTGACTCAAGCACCGATTCGCCGAAGTATCGGTGAGGTACGGCCTGAAATCCCATGGCTAGCATTGGTGTTACCGGCAGCGCTCGCTCCATCGTCAGGCCGGCCGCCTTCGCGTATGGGCCGCGAAACAGGGTCAGGGACTCTGCTGCTTCCTTGATCTCGTCCTGGGAGCGTAACCCACTCAGCCCCAAGTGGGACGCTAGTTTCGTCGTCAGTTCTTGCTGCGCTTCCGACATCAACCGACAGACTCAAAGTCTCGAGGTCAGATGAGATGCCGGTGTAGATAGATGAAGATTCACTCGTGTTCGCCTTGTGCGCTACGTTTTTTTTACCAGGTAGTCTCCTGGGGTTAAAGTAATCGATTGACGTGAAAGTCTCTCTCTTACTCGCTCGCAGAAGATTGGCCGCCGTGGTCGCCAGTTGTTTCGATTGATGGCTTGAAGTCAAGGATAACAATCCATTTATTCCAAGATTGAAACCACATTTCTTCTGGCTGCTTATATACGAAGTTCGAACACAAAGTCTCTCACGATGAAACACTATTTCTTTTATTCTCCAACTTCTCTCTTCTTGTAACCTCGGCATGTCAGTTGTAAGTTTAACAAATTTTCTTGTGCCTTACGAGGTTGTTCGGTGGAACTTTTATTAATGGCCTAACGTTTCGACTGAATCGTCGTCTTCAGAGGCCTGAACGTGTTTCAAGCGTTAGACTTACGCTCTACACCACCAAGCGCCTCATCAACTCTAGCGGTTTCGACATCGTGTCAGAAACCCCTCGAGAAGATCAGGACAGCGCAAGAAATAAACTCACCGTCGGTTCCACCCTTCGAGCGGAAAAGTCCGCTGCCACACAGAGCGCTGATCAGTTAGAACTGAAGAATACCATACTGTCTCCTTATGTCAAAAATAGTCGGGAGACGCACGTAACGCTCTGTCATCCTACAGCTCGCAGTGCGTGTGTGTGAAAATGCAAAACGTAGCGGGAACTGAACGGGCATTGATCATTGTTTATTGAGGATCACTCATCGGGCTGTCATATCTTGGATTCTTGGATTTCTAGTGAATATCCAGAATGCTTCTAATGCCTTCCGCGCGGAAATTTCCGTCTCTTGAGCCAGCAGCGTGCACCTTATTTCAAAAGTCATTCCCGTTATGCTCCTCAACCTTATGTCTTCCCAAAGGTGTTGTCACAGTACCGCGTCTCAAATTAGCAAGATGTTCCTTGATACGAATTGCTAAAACCCTTCCTGTTTCCCCTATGTACGTAGCGTTACATGCCTGACATTTAATCTCATATATTGCTCCAAGATGAGCACAATCTCCAAGTTTTCCATGCGGGCAGATAACGCAATTTTCGGATATGCACTGCTTGTCATAAAGTCTGTTTCGAACCAATTGCCGTTTGATGTTTTCGTTGGGAATATTCACCAACTGGACATCTTCCTGCAATTGGGCTCTTATTATGCACCGATGGATGGCAGTGCTAACTTTATCCGATATGAAAGGGATGCACAGGGGCAGTTTACTTCGACGTGGTACCTCTCGCGGGCCAACATGCTGCCGTATTCTAGGATGTGGTGCCGTATAGCCATTTGCAACAGCTATTCTCGCAGCAAGCTGTCGTGATTCTGAAATAAAAAATCATACCATAACGAGCAGTACGGTGACAATCTTGAGACAGGTGTCGACAATAAACAGCAGTGTCATTGCGATTGTCGTTGACATCACGAATGACCGAACGACACACATCCACAATACCTTTCACTTTCGGAGACGAAAAAGGATCTTTATCATGGTCAACGACGTAGTCACGCAGTCTGCTTATCTTAGAATAGAAACGCACTGAATCTCTCTGATCGAGAGCAGGACAATCACAATGCACCCCGATGTTACCCTCAAGAACGTGATAAGCAACGTCTCCGCCAATGTCGCAAACCAAACTATCGTACCCATCGTTGTTCTCAACAGCAGAGAGGCTATAATTTAAACGCTGCATTATGAGTCGATGTTCCACAGCTCGCATCGCTGATGCCATGGGATGTGTCTTGTTTAGGCACAAGCGAAAATCGAAATTGAACTCAGGATACAAGCGTTCAAGGTTCATCTGTTCATCAGCCGTCAGTTGTTCCTTAATGGTTATCATCTCTTTTTCGGGTCACGACTGGCAACATTGGCACGATCTATGACGGACGCCAGTTGTTGTTGCATCGCGTCATGTAGTGCTCCACCCAGACGTGCGTTGTCACTAACAAGCTTTTTCACAATCTCGTCGATTTCAACACTTGAGAGCGAAAACATTGCCATTTTCAGACGCAGTGCTTGTCCAACACAACCTGGTAAGGCACAAGAAAATTTGTTAAACTATTTCTTTTGTGATAGAATATTAAGTAGAAGAGCGAAAGCGAACCAAAGTGAATGCAAATTCTTTCTAATGCAAATTCAATTGTGAACACATCTACGTGCATGCCACAATCTGGACGTTGTGATAATGGAATACTAATGGATCATTTAGAAGAGCAGAAGCAAACCAAGGAGCGAACGCAAATCCTTTCCAATGCAAACTTCATTTATGTGTGTATGTCTATGTAGCATACCGTAATCTGAACGCAATGATTCTTAGTACAGTACTCGCCGTTTGAAATCGAAAATTCACGCGAATAACGCGAATCCTCGTTAATTTCGTGAATTCGTTATAACTCGGTTCAAAATTGAGATTTTCAAAATCTGAAAAAAGCGTTGAACTCAGCTCGTCGAGTTCTATAAGAATGTGCTTTTAAACTTTTGGAAAGCCCTACTTCAGATTGCGCCATGCACTCGAGCTTTGGCTCGAGAAAAAATTGTTTGAATGTGGTGCGCATATAATCCCGCTTATGCATCATGATCGTTCTTCAGAGAGATGGGTCTCAGCAGTTGCCCCAGAACGCGCCGCGTATTCAACATCGTCCATTGTATTGTGAATGGATCGATTGCTTTTTTCCAGATTTCATGGTCCCTATTCCATAGCGGCGCGTTAAATGACTTAACACGTAGTCCCTGCGCTCAACATCTCCTCCTCTCGTGTTCAAATGGAAATCATAGATCAATTCTCGGCTGGACAGTTAGCCTATTTGGTGAAATTTTCCAATGTTTGAGCGAAGGTTTTTCCGAAATCTGAGGAGGTAGCGGGGAAATTTCTTCACAGTTGTAGAGTACGCTTACTTGTGTGTAGGAAATAAGATGACACACTTGCTTGTAGACGAGCGCTTCCGCCGTGCTGTGGCTGTGAAATGCCTCCTCGTCATGCCCTTGTGGAAAGATCAGATTTTTTGCATTTCCAGATGAACTCGCAGACCTGAAATGTGCCCCGTTAGCTTCCCCGTGAAAAATGCTATCGAATGATATGCATTACTTCCCCAGTTGAAACTTTGGTTTTTCACCGTTTTCAGCCTTCCCCTATTGCCGATTGGGCCCACGATTTACTGCCCCAAAATCTCAAAGTTTCATTTTTCGTCGAAACTTTGTCTATTGGGGTAATTCGATGCCCTGATTACGAATATGACATTCATTTTTGATGCTGGTGTCATTTGGCGCCAATTGGCGCCAAAGACGATTTCGCGTTTTTTTCGTTTTTTCGTTATAAATCGGTTTAAAATTAAGATTTTCAAAATCTGAAAACAGCCTTGAACTCAGCTCGTCGAGATCTATAAGAATCCGTCCTAAAGTTTTCTAGCGGCACTACACTGGATTGCGCCATGCACTCAATTTTCATCTCAAAAAGTAGTTGCTCGCATGTGGTGTGTATCTAATCCCGCTTATGCGAGCTGACCGCCACACAGAAAGAAGGGTCTCAAAACATACCCCAGGATGCGCCACGTACTCAATCTATCCACTACATTGTGAGATTAGATGAATGTTATTTTCCGAATTCTTAGATCTTCATTTCGTTTTTAAGCGCTTACTGGCTTTACGTGTTCCCTCTGCTCTCAATATCCCATCCTCTGTATTTCAAGTGGAATCTTTGAACAGTTCTCAGCAGGCATAGTGGGCCTATTATGTGACATTTTCCATTTTCAGAGGAGATGTTTTGCAGAAAGCTATGAAGATAGCGAGGAATTATCTTCACCAGCGTAGACTACGGTGACTCTTCTGTAGGAACTGTATGAAAACCTTGGTCGAAGATGAGCGTTCCTTCCGTAGTAAGGCCCCAAACATCACACCTCGCCCCATTTTTTGTGACATGTTCCATGTTTAGAGCACATGTTATGTAGAAAGCTGTGAAGGCAGCGACGAATTTCCTCCACCGGCGTAGACTACGGTCACTTGTCTGTAGGAATTACATAGAAACCTTGGTGGCAGGTGAGTCTTCCTTCCGTAGTGTGACCCCAAACATCACACCTCGTCATGCCCTTGCGATATGATCAGATTTTTTTGGTTCTTCTCCAGATGAACATAGAAGACTGAGATGTGCACCATTCAATTCCCCATAAAAAATACTGTCGAACGGTATACAACTCACTTTCTGGAGAACATCTAGTTTACCTGCCACTAGATCCATTTTGTGACATTTCCCAATTTTCGAAGGGATGTTTTGAGGAAATTCGAGAAGGGAGGGACGAACTCTCTTCCCTATCGTAGAGTAAGTTTACTTGTATGTTGGAAAAAGATGATACACTCGGGCTTGAGCGAGTGTTTCTTCCCTGGTGTGGCCTCAAACATCGCTCTCCGTCATGCCCTGAAATAAAAACCAGATTTTTTGGTCTTCCAGGTGGCTCTACGGAGCTGTGGTGTACACCATTCGATTCTCCATGCAAAATGCTATCGAACGATATACATCTCAGTTCCCACTTAAAACTTTCGTTTTTCATCGCCTTTTCCTTATCGCCGATCGCCTTCCTCAGCCCTGGCCACCCACGTGCTATTCACGTGCGCGTGAGAGCTCACGTGACAGCCGATGGCCTTTCTCGGTAGCTGGCGGGCAGCCCGATCGATACACCGCTATGCGTGTCGAAAGTGCGTGGGAAAGTCTTTCTGTGTAGCGGTCAGCTCGCATAAGCCGGGATTAGATACACACCACATGCGAGCAACTACTTTTGAGATGAAAATTGAGTGCATGGCGCAATCCAGTGTAGTGCCGCTAAAAACTTTAGGACGGATTCTTATAGATCTCGACGAGCTGAGTTCAAGGCTGTTTTCAGATTTTGAAAATCTTAATTTTAAACCGATTTATAACGAAAAAACGAAAAAAACGCGAAATCGTCTTTGGCGCCAATTGGCGCCAAATGACACCAGCATCAAAAATGAATGTCATATTCGTAATCAGGGCATCGAATTACCCCAATAGGCAAAGTTTCGACGAAAAATGAAACTGTGAGATTTTGGGGCAGTAACAGTGGAACAGTGAGTGCCCAATCGGCAATAGGGGAAGGCTGAAAACGGTGAAAAACCAAAGTTTCAACTGGGAGGAGTAAATGCATATCATTCGATAGCATTTCACGGGGAATCTAACGGGGCACATTTCAGTTCTGCGAGCTCATCTGGAAATGCAAAAAAAAATCTGATCTTTTCACAAGGGCATGACAAGGAGCATTTTCACAGCCACAGCACCGGCAGGAAGCGGCCATCTGCAAGCAAGTATGTGATCTTATTCCTACACACAAGTAAGCGTACTCTACAACTGTGAAGAGATTTCCCGCTACCTCCTCAGTTTTCGGAAAAACCTTCGCTCAAACATTGGAAAATTTCACCAAATAGGCTAGGGCATGACGAGGAGGCATGTTCATGGCCACAGCACGCAGGGAGCGGTCATCTGCAAGCAAGTGTGTGATCTTATTCCTACACACAAGTAAGCGTACTCTACAACTGTGAAGAAATTTCCCCGCTACCCCTCAGATTTCGGAAAAACCTTCGCTCAAACATTGGAAAATTTCACCAAATAGGCTAACTGTCCTGCTGAAAAATGATCTATGATTTCCATTTGAACACGAGAGGAGGAGTTGTTGAGCGCAGTCATGTACATTTTGAGTCATTTAACGCGCCGCTATGGAATAGGGACCATGAAATCTGAAAAAAAAAGCAATCGATCCTTTCACAATACAATGAACCATGTTGAATACGCGGCGCGTTCTGGAGCAACTACTGAGACCCATCTCTCTGAAGAACGATCATGATGCATAAGCGGGATTATATGCGCACCACATTCAAACAATTTTTTCTCGAGCCAAAGCTCGAGTGCATGGCGCAATCTGAAGTAGGGCTTTTAAAAGTTTAAAAGCACATTCTTATAGAACTCGACGAGCTGAGTTCAACGCTTTTTTCAGATTTTGAAAATCTCAATTTTGAACCGAGTTATAACGAATTCACGAAATTAACGAGGATTCGCGTTATTCGCGTGAATTTTCGATTTCAAACGGCGAGTACTGTAGTACAGAAAAATAGCAATGCTCATCACGTGCGCTTACCATTCGCGTACCTCCTTTTTTTGTAATTCTCAATTCCACATTTTTAGTGCATTCTGCATATTTACTCATCTAAATTTCATGTTAATATAAACATCAGGGCCAGAATTATGATAGAATCCGTCCTACGTGATTGTACACAAAACTCCACATAAACCAAAAAGAACTACTCATGTTTTGGTTCTGTCTAATGTAGACTGCTGCAGAAAAATAACCAAATCTTAGCACTACATGTCAGTAATGAAGTAGAAACCATAAGTGTTTGGTGAACAAAGAAAAGTCTTATTTATTGAGCAAGCGCAATACATTTACCTGAAAACAATGGCATGCAGAAGTGAAACGATGTAAAGAGAGGATGAAAAATCTCTTGAAGCGAATTACGAAAGACGAAGGTAAAACAGCGAGCTAGGAATTAAAAAAGGAGAATAAGGATTTAGCGCAATTGCAAGTCTCAAAGCAGGACTCAAAAACACGGTAAACGGCTGGGAAGCATCTCTATAAGCAATAACACAAATTAAACGTACGGGGATACAGCGAAGCGGGCTAAAGTATTACAATTCCCAAAACTTCAATATGAACGTAAATTATGGATAATGAAACAGAACTAGAATAGCTTACAGGTGAATGAAGAATAATATCAGTAGAATGTGGAATAGCAAACGGAAGTTAAAAGAGTGCAGCATAACAGAATTGAATAGGTCCACTTCCTCCGAAAACCACACAGCAACTTTGGCGCCGAATTGTCAAGCTTACCTCACAAGATTAGAGTATGCACAGTGTGGCAATACAGCAATGCAGTACAATTATGGTGCTAATAATGGTGCAAATACTACCACAGCTGTCACAGCATACAACCAGAGCTATCAGCACACGCGGCGCCACCGCTCGCCGCCGACGGAAACCGTCCTCGATCCCTCGTTGCTAGTATCCATAGCAATGATGGTTCACGCTAGTGTTTTGAAGCCAAGAGTTTGATACCCCAGACGTTCGACACATTCGCTCTCATTTTAGCAACATTGCTGTCAAGAATCCCTGATTCCAACCATATTCTGACCATACACTTTTATTCTTGACTCGATTGATGCTTCACTTGTTTTCCAACATATATGCACGTATTTCCAATGACCATATAGGGAA